GCGCGTGCGCGGGTGGTGTGTGTGTGTGTGTGTGTGCGTGTGTGTGTGTGTGTGTGTGTGCGTGCGCGCGTGTGTGTGTGTGTGTGCGTGTGTGCGTGCGCGTGTGTGTGTGCGTGTATGTGCGGTCGTGCGTGCGTGTGTATCCACTAATATTCGTAAACTATGCGGTATCTATGTGCCTTTACACCGCACTAGTCACAATACAGAATTCATTCGACACTTCGTGTTTGATTTATTTTGGAAATACAACGTTTTTTCTTTCATTTTTTTTTCATAGCAATCTCTGCCATTCATGCAGTCGGATCTTATCAAGTTTGAATGCCCAGAAGGTACGCGTTTACCTTTAGTCTAAATCCTGCTTCTGTCATCTATGTAAACACCACATTTATATTACTCCGAATTTCATAACGCGTGTTTCGTTTAGTGTTACGTTTCCTGTAAAGTTCGTAGCGCTGTATTAAATGTATATATACACACTCGAGATGAGGGTTTGAATTTTACCCCACGCATGAAGATATAAGCTATATGATTCACACATACGTAATACCCACATACGTACATGCACACGCAGACACATGCGCACACAGGAAGACATGTAGACAGACAAACAAACAATTACACACCTGTGTATATATATATACCTGTGTGTGCGTACGTGCCCGCGTGCGTGTGCGTGTGTGCATGTACGTGTGTGGGTATGTACGTGTGTGTGCATGTACGCTCCCACAATAAACAGTTAATTATAAACAGTTAAATTAATAAATTAATTAGCTAACAAATATATCTCTTGCTCGTGCTCTCATAACTTCTACATAACTGGATCCCGCTTTGACAGATTGGGTGCTATTCAAAGACAAATGCTACGGACTCTTCGTTGACGTGGATTCAAACTGGTACACTGCTAATCTAACATGCGAAGCGTAAGTATGAAAGATGTTAATCTTGCATATTAATCCTAATCAAACTAGATAAATACACACACTGTCATCGATCCCTGGACCGAATAGTTAGCGATGTAAAAAAAAAATAATGTTATTGGGTCAGCCGATAAGAGTCGAGTTGACAGGCATGAAAAAAGCAGAGTGCTAGTCTACTTATTGATTGATTTACATATTTAAAAGGTATTTTTTCATAATTAATTATTAATTGATTTATTAATATCTTCATTTATTATTATATTTGTATTATTTGTGCTTGTTTGTTTATTTATTCATTCATTTCTATATTTATCTGCTTATTTACTTGTTATTTTATTTATTTATTTATTTATTTACATTTTTCTATTTACCTATTTATTTACTTTATTTTAAGAGATCTGAAGCATCGTTAATAATCGTAACTACTGCATCCTATACAATGCGCTGACCTTCAACCTCTCTCCTAGTCCGAACAAACGCACGCAAACCACGCGCTGACGTGCATGCTCTCTTGTTCTCCCCAGCTTCGGCGGAGCCCTGGTGGCAATCGAGGGCTTCAACGAGAACCAGTTCGTCGGCGAGCAGATCCGTCTCGTCAACGCCGACGGTGCTGCCACCAGCAGCGAGCGGCAGGGCTGGTGGATGGGCATGCGCGCCTACGGTCTGACGACGGCAGAATGGTCGACGGGAGAGGCAACGACTGCTGCAGAAGGTACGGGAAGCGATCCGGTTTAGAGATCCGAAAATACCGAGTTTTTTTCAGATCCGGTTTTGTTCGAGCGTTTTAAATCCGATCTTAAATCGCGCATCGGATCAGATGAGTACCGAATTCGAAATTCGAAATTTGCCTTAAATCGCCGTATCTCATTGCGTATGCGTGCGTGCGTGCGTTGGTAGCAGCACTACTAACACATCGAAATGTGCAAAAATCGCCGTATATTAATGTTAAATTATCCTAAAATTTTGTCCATACTTGTGCATGTTGACTTTAATTACTGAAAATTTATATAAATATAAATATAATCATAATAATAAAAACAAAATAAATAATATTTTCGTGCGTGCGTGCGTGCGTGCGTGTGCGTGCAGGTTACTGGGCACCGGGACAGCCTGTCTACTCGGACGGACCGTGCGTGGACATCGGATTCCAGGTGATCAACGACACACTCTACTGGGTCATCAGTAACTGTGACGATAACAAACCGTATGTGTGCACGATCGACGCCTGCCTAGAAGGTTATTATTATTATTATTATTATTATTATTATTACTATTGTTGTTGTTATTATTATTATTATTATTATTATTATTATTATTATTATTACTATTGTTGTTATTATTATTATTATTGTTATTATTATTATTACTATTGTTGTTATTATTATTATTATTGTTATTATTATTATTACTATTGTTGTTATTATTATTATTATTATTATTACTATTGTTGTTATTATTATTTTTATTATTATGACTATTGTTGTTGTTGTTGTTGTTGTTGTTGTTGTTGTTGTTGTTCGTTGTCTGTTGTTGTTGTTGTTGTTGTTGTTTGTGTGTTGTGTTGTTGTTATTATATTATTACTATTGTTGTTCGTTTTATTAATTATTGGTGGTATTATTATATGTGTGGTGAGAATGACGAAGAGAAGATAGGGATAACAAAAGATGGTGGAACGCAGAAGGATAAATGAGGTAGAGAGAGAGAGAGAGAGAGAGAGAGAAGAGAAGAGAGAGAGAGAGGAGAGAGCAGAGGAGAGCAGAGAGAGAGAGAGAGAGAGAGAGAGAAGGGAGGAGAGAGAGAGAGGGAGGACGAGAGAGAGAAGAGAGAGATGAGAGAGAAGAGAGAGGGAGAGAGAGAGAGAGGGGAGAGAGAGAGGAGAAGGACGAGAGAGAGCAGAGAGAGAGAGAGGGAGAGAGAGAGAGAGAGAGAGAGAGGAGAGAGAGACGAGAGAGCAGAGAAGAGAGAGCAAGAGAGAGAACAGAGAGAGGACGAGAGACGAAGAGAGAGAGGGAAGAGCAGAGAGGAGAGAGAGAGAGAGGAAGAGGGGAGAGAGCAGAGAGAGAGAGAGGAGAGAGAGATGAGAGAGAGGGAGGAGAGAGGAGAGAGAAGAGAGAGAGAGAGGAGAGCGGGTGAGATATAGCGAGAGAGAGAGAGAAGAGAGAGAGAAGAGAGAAGGGAGAGAGGAGAAAGAGAGAGAGAGCGAAGCGAGAGAGAAAGAGAGAGAGAGAGCGAGAGAGAGAGAGAGAGCAGAGGAGGAGAGACGGCACGAGAGAGAAGAGGGAGAGAGAGAGAGAGAGAGAGAGAGACGTGAGAGAGAGAAGAGAGGGGGGGGGGAGAATAGAGACAAGCGAACCGCAAGCGCAATGTTAACACCATACATACACCCTTCCGCCAACCACACACATTAGTGTTCACAATAATATAGACGTTCTTGTGTCATCTTGCAGGCCAGTGCGCTGCGGATCCGGGGATGATGCATCGTCAGAATGGAGTCGCGATGGCGTCCAAGACTGCCACGATGGCAAGGACGAAGTCAACTGCACTAGTGATTAGCAGACGACTATTACAGCGGCCATCTCTGACGAGATAACTCGCTAACAAGATATATATAGAAATATTTCTTTACTTTGTTTTATTTGTTTGTTTACTTATTTATCATTCATTCATTCATTTACCTATACAGAGAATTTACTAAAAGTATAAGCTACGAAGATTCATTCGTAAGTATGAATTCATCATACTTATTTACTAACTGTTATCTCTTTCTGGCCTCCTATGGGGTTCGGTTTCTGCCGGGAGAAACTATGATTCTGGCCTGATCATTACCAATATAATAAGTAATATAAATATATATATATATATAAAATATATAATATAGTGTTATAATAAAATAATTAGTCGTTTGAGGCGATACGTTCGTTATCCGAATGGCAATAAAAAGAAGAAAAAAAGAAAAAGATAAATGGGGTACCCGCCGCCCTGCACATACTCGAGTATAAACAACCAAATTATATATACGTCGCTAGCGTGTTAAAACCGCTCCGATCCCCTCCCCAGATTCGGTGCTTCAAGAATTCCGAGCCATCGTGGGTAACTTCACGACAGTGAACTATCCTGGACTCTACCTCTGCCCTACAGCGACTGCCAGTGGATCATCGACGTACCTCAGGGCAACATCATAGAACTATGTGGGTGGCATCGAAAATATGGCGAGGTTGGGCGCTATGGGGGTTAATAGAGAGAGAAGAGAGATAGAAAGCAGGAACAATAACGATAGCGAGAGAAGAGAGAGAGAGAGAGGAGAGGAGAGAGAGAGAGAGGGAGAAGAGGAGAGAGAAGAGAGAGAGAGAACGAGAGAGAGAGAAGAGAGAGAAACGCAGAGAGAGAGAGAGAGAGAGAGAGAGAGAAGAGAGAAGAGAGAGAGAGAGAGAGAGAGAGAAGAGATGAGAGAAGAAGAGAGAGAGAGAGAGAGAGAGAGAAGAAGAGCGCGAAGAGGAGAAGAGAGGAGGGAGAGGGAAATAGAAAAAGAAAAAAGAGAGAGAGCGACAGTGAGAGAGAGAAAGATACTATATATATTATATATAATATAGTATAAGACATACGAATATAGATATAAGATAGATAGATCGATAGATAGATAGATAGATAGAGAGAAGAGATAGAGAGAGAGCACGCACGCACGAGAGAGAAAGAGAGACACACACAAGTAGAGACATAGACTTACACATCTCTCTCTCTACCCGTCCGCCGTCTACAGTTTAACGACTTCGAGCTCGAGGAGTGGTACGATCAGGTGACAGTCTACGACGGCTCCATAAGCTCGGAGAACGTGTTGGGTCAGTTCTGGGGCAGCGCGATACCGGACATTCCGCTGAGCACGGGAAACCGCATGACGGTCACCTTCAAGAGCGACGCGGGAGAACACAGACGAGGATTCCACGCGTCCTGGACGACGCGTGAGTGATACTGGTGGTGGTTGCTGTGGTGTTGGTGTTAGTGGTGATTGTTGTTGTAATGGTTGTTGTTGTGGTTGTTGTTGTTTGTTGTTGTTTGTTTTTTGGGGGGGTTGGGGGGGGAACACAGGCGCGGATTCCACGCGTCCTGGACGACGCGTGAGTGATACTGGTGGTGGTTGCTGTGGTGTTGGTGTTAGTGGTGATTGTTGTTGTAATGGTTGTTGTTGTGGTTGTTGTTGTTTGTTGTTGTTTGTTTGTAGGGGTGGTTGGGGGGAGAACACAGACGCGGATTCCACGCGTCCTGGACGACGCGTGAGTGATACTGGTGGTGGTTGCTGTGGTGTTGGTGTTAGTGGTGATTGTTGTTGTAATGGTTGTTGTTGTTTGTGATGTTGTTTGTTGTTGTTTGTTTGTAGGGGTGGTTGGGGGGAGAACACAGGCGCGGATTCCACGCGTCCTGGACGACGCGTGAGTGATACTGGTGGTGGTTGCCGTGGTGTTGGTGTTACTGGTGGTTGTTGTTGTGGTTGTTGTTTTAGGTGTTGTTGTTGTTGTTGTTGCTGCTGCTGCTGCTGCTGTGTAAATTGGTGATGTTGCTGTTCGTTTACTTTTGCTGTTGCTGAACTTGGTTGGCGATTTGTGCAAATCGAGAGTATTTTCTGGACTTGCTTTAAGATCATTGCACAAAAATCACGAACACTAACCCTAAAACCAGGGGTCCGTTGTCAGAGACAAAATTGGTCTTAACATTAGTCTTAACATTAACTTTTTCTTTTAGACCGTCGACAGAAACGCTGCAAAGTTACAAGAATGAAAAATCGTAGCTGATTTCCTCATAACAATACGAAACAAAGTGATGTCGACGGTCTAGGAGAAATTGTTAATGTTAAGACTAATGTTAAGACTAATTTTGTTTCTGACAACGGGCCCCAGGTTTTTATTCACGCTGAATGTCCCTCCCCCTTGTTGTTGTTGTGTAGGACAAACTTGCTATGACAACAAGCTAGAGGCCACGGACAAGGAGCAGCCGATCACCTCTCCCAACTATCCCAACAACTACGCGAACAACGCTGATTGTATCTGGATCATCACTGCCGAGAGCGCAGACGGACCCAATCCACAACTCATCACGATACAGGTCAGCGTGCTCATAGAACGCACTGATGTTCAATCTTTATTGGGTGCATTGCATTTATTGGTGCAGAGCATGTGCAACCCCCGCTTTATTGGGACAGCTCGGGTACCATGAGAATGTCCCGATTAGTCCTTCCAATCCACAACTCATCACGATTCAGGGTAGCGTGCGCATAGAACGCACTGATGTTCAATCTTTATCGGCGCAGCTCTCCCTGCTTAATCGGGACAGTTCTGAAACGACGATAATGTTCCGATTAAGCGATATTAAGCGATTGTTATCGGGACAGTTCTGGAACCACGAAAAATGTTTCGATTAAGTGGTATTAAGCGATTGTTATCGGGATAGTTCTGGAACCACGAAAAATGTTCCGATTAAGTGGTAGTTCCGAGTGCCGGAACACAATGGTGAAAAAACGTCCAAAGCGGTGAACACAACGTTCTTATGGTGATTGATTTTTCAAATGCGTATATCGGTTAAGCCTAGGTTAAGCGATATATATCGATTACCGTCTCTCCCACCATTATTTCTTTTTCTTGCAACTGCCTACCACCTTTCTTTTGCCCTCCTCCCCTCTCTCACACACACCTCTTTTTTCCTATCCTCGCTATCCCACTCTCTCCTGCCTCTATCTCACTCTCCCTCTCTCATCTTCTTTCATCGCTCTCTCTCTCTCTGTCTCTCTCTCTCTCTCTCTCTTTCTCTCTTTCTCTCTCTCTCTCTGTTTCTCTCTCTCTCTCTCTTCACTATTCTCTCTCTCTTCTTCCTCCCTCTCTCTCTCTCTCTCTTTAATCCCACTCATCACTCTCTTTCTCCACCCTTCTCTCTCTCTTTCTACCCCCTCCTCTCTTCCTCTATCTCTATCTCTCCTACTTCCCCCTCTCCTTCTCCCCTCTTTCATAAAACGGTTCTTCATTCACGCAGTTCAAGTTCTTCGACTTCAACTCGGAGAAGAACGACTACATTCAGCTGCTAGATGGCGCCACTGCCAACTCGCAGCTAATCGGAACTTTTGACGGCACGACGGTGGCGCCCACTATCGTCATGACGACGGGAAGCTACGTCTACATACGCTTCAAGACGGACGAGTCGGGAACCGCTCTCGGTTTCTCGCTCACCTATAAGCAAGGTAACAATAGCTTATAGGCGACGTATTGCTTAAGAAGTAAGTCTTAAGTGGTAGAAGACGTTGCACTAAGTAGTAAGTAGTAGGTTCACTGACCCTAACCCAAACCCTTACTTTANCCGCTAACCTTTATCCCAACCCTTACAGGCTGTGACGTCACGCTCACGCGTTCGGCCGTGAGGTTATACTCGCCCGGATGCGACCCCGCGACGCCCGCGCTCTACCCGAACAACATCGTCTGCTAACCCTTCACCCCTAACACTAACATTAACCCTTTACCCCTAACACTAACATTAACCCTTTACCCCTGATCCCTAACCCTTCTACCAAAACCTAACGAGTTCTACCTTATCTTAACCCTAACCCTAACATTAACCCTTTACCCCTGATCCCTAATCCTTCTACCAAAACCTAACGAGTTCTACCTTATCTTAACCCTAACCCTAACCCTAACCCTAACCCTAACCCTAACCCTAACACTAACACTAACCCTTTCCCCCCAACACCGCCCCCACCCTGACCTTCAATCATCAGCCGTCGTTCGTTGTCTGCGTTACAGGCTGTGACGTCACGCTCACGAGTCCAGCCGTGAGGATCTACTCGCCCGGCCGCGACCACGCGACGCCCGCGCTCTACCCGAACAGCATCGTCTGCTCGTGGACGATCGACGAGATGAGAGACAAGGCGCTGACGCTGCGGTGGGACGACTTCGAGACGGAGCGAACGTTCGACCCTGTCGAGGTAAGGAGGAGAGAGAGAGAGGAGGAGGAGGGAGGAGGGGAGAGAGAGAGAGGAGGAGGGAGGAGGAGAGAGAGAGAGAGAGGAGGAGGAGGAGAGAGAGAGAGGAGGAGGAGGAGGAGAGAGA